GTTAATCGATCAATCTACCGGAGTATTTAGATGCGAGAAGTGTAACAGGGACTATCCAAATTTCACGTATCGCTTGCTGGCAAGTGTATGTATATTGTCTTCGCATCGTTCTTATTTCTTTATGTTGGAAAGTATCTTCTGATATCTGTTCGGTTTATTGTTGTAACAATTCTCAGATGAGTGTAGTAGACGCAACAGGCAGTCGCTGGATAACTGCCTTCAGCGAAGATGCTGAGAAAATATTGGGCATGTCGGCGCAAGAGTTGGGGGAATTAAAGGAGAACGATAACGACGCTTATATGCAGAAATTTGACGAAGTGAATTTCAAGAGGTTCTTATTCAGTTTAAGGGCGAAATCAGAATTTTTTCAGGTAATCGATAGAGCGTACATTTTATCATATTAATAAATTTTTTTCCACAATTTTCTCTTCTAATTTTCATAACAGTCTATTTTTACCATTGTATAAGTCATATTCTAAGTTAATCTTATATTCAGTGGTATTATATATTTTTTTCACATATGTATATTAGAAGATAATATATTAATACATTTTCTAACAATTTCTACATTTTCCAGGATGAAATGAGAATAAAACACGTCTGTAAGTCAGTTGCGCCGCTAAATTACAAGACTTACCTAGCACATCTGATTGACAAAGTCTCCAAGTTGGTACACATCGAGAAATTGGAGTCCAACTAAATAAGATTTCATACGTTTTGTTAAAAAAAAGTTCAAGAAGATGATTAAAGCTTATAAGTTTGTACGTTTCATTGAAGTATTATGATCGTTTCGGTATTTTTTCCAAGTGTCTTTTATTTAGATCGTTTCTATTATTGAATGAAATTCGATTAAGTATTCTTCAATGTAAAAGAAGAAAACCGAATGCAGCACGTAAGATAAAATTTAAAATTATATTAATCACATTAATTGATCGTTACTTTCCACAAAGATATTTATAATTTTTTTTGTATTATTGCTATATAATAGTATATAGTATCATTGTGCCTGCTGCACGATTTTGGTAAAATAAATTTCTGATTTACACATTGATGTTCGCGTTTTTATTAATCGATCCAGTAACCAATATGATTGCAAAATATGTTTTACTACTGTCGTTGCCTTAGCTTTCTCTTTCCTAAGATTCTTACAGAGTCTTCAGAATTATTCCGTACAGCAGTAATAACTACCTAGATTGTAATGTGAAATGCATCATTTTTGTCGCGCTGTGAATGCACATGTGTTCTCGACACAAGGTGCGATAAGATTATTGTTACGCAAAGCGGATCCTTATCAGAAAGATGGCTTGTCACGCTGTAAGATTCCGATTTATTTTTACTCCCTGGTACATACATACATACATACGTTACTGGTAAGGCCCCGGACACACACTTTTTCGTAACAGTAACAGTAGGATTTCGACCAATCGTGTTACTCGATTCGGGAACGTACGGTCGTACGTTTTCGAATCGAGCAACGCGATTGGTCGAAATCCTACTGTTACTGTTACGAAAAGTGTGTGTCCGGGGCCTAAAGCACGTGTGCGTTACTGCGCATGCGTCAGATATCCCACGATCTGGGATCACTTGTCTTTTCTGTACTCCCTGTACTCGTTGGTGAAACGAGCGAAATCTGTTTGACAGCTTGGTGCGTTATGTTTTGGACTGTTTTGGACAATGGTTTCCTACGTCGTTAATCGCCGTCACGCGTAACCGTGCTCGATTACATCGAGACCTGCGAAGTTTACGTTTTTTTTTTTACTAATGAAAGAAGCACGATGTTGAAGTACGGTTTTCCCATTACGATAATCGTTATCGTCTATCTGTCACAGCTGTCTGAGGTTAGGACTCGTTCTCGCGATGAATTGTGTTCAGTTTAGTCTTCGGTCAGAGATCACGGATGTTTTTTAACGGATTGCGAATGATTGCAGGCGCAATATGACGACAAGAGATGCAAGTGCATCTGCCCGAGTCTCTCTTCCGTCACAAACACGACGCAGTCGGCCACGGAGCGTCTCACATACATTATAAATGTTCCACCGTTACAATGGTAATTCCGTAGTGTGTAAATGTGTCAAGATAAATATTTTGAGGACAAGGAATATCCCCTTTGTTTCATTGTAATTAAATTTGACGTTTATATATATATAATTTTATATAAATTTCTATATAAATGAAACGGTCCCTACAAGTTGCAGCTAGATTAATAATGGTTCCCCAATTTACCCTTGTTATACGATTGGCAATGTTACTTGCCTTTTAGTTGTTGCCAGTCTGTTGTAATACATATGTAATTTGCAGCAAGTGCGAGAGCGTCGTCCTGCCGAAACTTGGTGATCAGATAAAGGGCAAAGAAGAGGTATTTTGCTCGCGATGCGACTGCAAATACGAAAACAGGAACACGACTATTATTAAGGTGCTTATCTTTTCTGGTAGACCTTATATCGCTGTCGTGTAGATCGCAATAACATGGTGAAAATGTTTGTTACAGATCGTGGTGATAATAGTTATATGGGTTATCTCGTTGTTAGTAATTTATATGTTATTTTTAATTTGTCTGGATCCGTTGCTTAACAAACGGATACACAAGGCGTCGGCAAATATTGGTTATCATGAACATAATAATGAAGAGGTAAGTACCCCCCTCCCCCCTCTCTCTCTCTCTTTCTCGTCGATCTCACTTTTCTCTTAACTTGTGTGTGCGAGTGGGTGAAATAAGTATGATGTTTAACAACTAAACGTGCCAAACATGTATGTTCTTTTTTTTCTTTTATTGCAAAGGACGACTCGTCTCTTGCACCTGGAACGTCACATCCAATGGGGGAAAGGGGCAATGTTTTGAATCGCGTCGGACACCAGCAAGACAAGTGGAAGCGACAGGTTCGGGAACAGAGGCGGAATATTTATGATCGTCATACTATGCTGAACTAAGTTGCACATTTTGTTCTCTAAGTATGTAAAATATTCACACATACAGAATACTTCTAGTTGCGATTTGTTCAATCCTTTCACAACAAACCTTCCGCGAATAGTTTGTATCGATCAAATATAAATATATTGCAGTAATAAAGTAACATTAAGCGTCAGCGAGCTAGTTTTCGATCATTTTATTTTCGTAAAATTCTATCCGTTGGATCGTGTCACGGCTGACATTTATATATAAACGAAAATATATATATTCAGAGATTTTATTATTTATTTTGATTATAGTGATTATAGTGCATTGAAAAATAAACTATCAAATATATATTAACCGCGCTTATTGCGACATGTACATTCTTATTAGAAGTATCTATAAATAAATATTTCAGGTTTAATATTTACTATATAATCCTAAATAAAAAAATTAATTTTTAGATTATATGTCAGCATAGAGCTAATTCGCGGAGGGATTTCGATAATATTTTGTCGCCACGCTGTAAGGCTAGCTTTCAAAAGTATTTTTAGTTGTGAAAACAATAGTAAAACACAGAAATCATCTTTACTATGTTTTTGATAAAATTCTTTTCAATAATATTTATTATTGCACTAGATGAAAATTCTTAGATAATTATGTATAAAACTCGAACACTTAACCGTATATATTTTATAAGACAAGTTTTTGCAGTGGTAGAGGACTTAATGAATTCCTAAGGTTTTCAATCTTTTAAGATTACTTTTCCAAGCGAATCTTTGATCGTATCGTATAATGTTAAGACGAGAGCACCACCGGTGCCGCGAAGAATGTTAGAGAATGCACCTTTGAAGAAAGCTCCGGGACCTTCGTTTCTCGTTATTTTTACCCAACAATCCAGTGTGTTTTTATACATTATGTCAGCCTTACTTCGTCCTGATTGCATCATCATTCGTCTTCTAACTGTATCGAAAGGGTAGGACACGATACCCGCCATCGTTGTTACTATCTACAAAAGATTGGATGGCACTTGTGCATAATAAAAAAATTATTGTATTCGTCGCTTCATCTTTATATGTTCGTGATGAGAAAGGATAGATCTGTACCTCGGCGATTATAAAATTCATGTACAACGGTGTGCTCTTCGGATCGGACAGCATAATACCCTTCATAGTATCATAAAATCCAAAGTATGTCGCGCGATATATAACGATTCCCTGTACGCTAACGTTGAAGCCACGATACAGTCCAAAAAATCCGTCCGATTTAAAAATCTTTAGTATACAGTCGGTTATACCCTTGAATTCCCGTTTCTCACCTTTTCCGACGTCGGCGGCTAATCTAAAAAGTTAGACTCTTGTCATATGTAAATAATACAGACTGTTCTGAAATTTAACGTTCAAACTGTGCCACCTTGATAAATCGCGCTAAATTAAGTTTTTGTAACGTTCTATGTGTGTAAGGCATACCTGGTACGGGCCAAGTCGAGCGGATACACGAATAAGAGCGATGTCGCACCAGCGGCACCGCCGGCTGCCAGATTTCCAGCAAACTGTCGCCAGAAAGCATCTGGCGGCACATCTCCCAGGAAGAAGGCCTTAAATTTATCTTTGAATGCAAAATTGAGTGCTTGAGTTGGAAAGTATCGAATAACGTTGGCGAAATTGCCTCTGTAGAAACTAAGAAATCCCGTTTCCTGAGGTATACGAACAAACGCGTCTATCATACCTAATGAAATTTTAACGATTAAAAAATTGAAAAACCTACAGATGGAGAATGGAGATTATTTCTTGCGTGGTGTATCAAACCGGAGCAAATCGCTCCAACGTACCCTTGTACTGTTGTTCAGGCCTTATCTGCTTCGAGGTATGCTGCACTTGCAGCAATAATTTCACTCTTTCTAGAGGAGCGACTGCTGTCTTTGCAATCGCCGCGGACAGACCGCCTGCGAGAAAATCTATCAGAAAAGATCTGTACGCGTCCATTTCTTGGGGCTTGCCAAAATCGACAGATTCCGAGTAACTAACAGTCCGTCATGCGGATCTCGTTGAAATCACGCGACGTTTACATACTTTTAATCGCCATATATATTTACGTTAATATCGAAGTATCACATATCTTTGCCCTATCTGTCATGGGAATGAAACATAACGTCAGATCTACTATGCTACGAGTCACTTGTTTTGTCGATCTACAAGATTCACTGCTTTAAAACAATTGGAGAATGGTTTCTTCGAAAATCCCCTAAAACGCTTAAAAATCATTAGAATTGTAATCGCAAAATTGTAGAACGAATAAAATGAATAAGTAAGACACACACGAATTGTGCTCGTAACATTTAATTGTGTCATTGCTTTACACAAAATCGGACATATATTTGTTTAAAACCTTATGTCGGTCATGAAAATGTATGTGGTCAGGAGCTTTTATTCAAAAGCTACAACTATGATTCATATAAATGATTGGATCACAGTGATCTCTGATTTTCATATACATTATAAACGTGGGATAAAATATATTACTTATTTTCTTCTCTTTATCTTGTAGATACAGAAAATAGAACGCTCACGTCAAATGTTTATGTATATAAATTTATCTCAAGGACTAGAAGAAAGATCTCTTTTATGTTGAACGTTATTAAGTGATGTTAAGAAACATCAAATATTTTCATCTCTAATAAATCTAAACAGATGCTTGATAATTATATTTATAAGATACATGTAATAGAACATTTGGAGAAATTGCATTCGGCACATATTGGCATAGAATTACAGATAAACAGAGCCATCGTGATCGGCCCTCGAGAGATTCGACAGAGAACGCACACATTTTTTTTATATTTAAAAATACGTTAGGATTGAGTTAGGAAAATACACTAAGCAGTTACTAAAATCTTAATTAGAAATTGATTGGTATAAAAATAATATCAGTAATAAGCGAAAGTAATGTTATACCACACTTTCACTGTCTGGATTAGTAAAAATTATTGGAATGAACAAAACGAAATTCCTTGTGCGAGGTACTCTTAAAGTTTTATAATAAAATATCATCAGAGCATTTACTACTAACTAGCTTACTGACTTTCGAAATTGAAAGTAATGGATCAGTTTAAGATCATGTACACACGTGTTTTAGACAGATGCTATAAATGGCAGTGAAAGTGTTGAATTTTCGTAATATAGGAATTCCGATGTCCAATTACACTTGGCCCACACTACAGAGCAAGATATTTAAAGCAAATGTACATATAACAAAAGGATCCACTGAATACTTTTTATAAATGTACATTGACGAACATATGACGGGAAAATTATTCAATTGTCCTTCATGTCGCTCATTTACGCTGCGTGTACCGACTGAAAAAGAAAATATGCGCATGATAAAACTAACTTAAAATTTTATAATGCAGACAGTCACAAGTTTTTATGCGTACCTTTGCAATGTCCACGCCGGTCAAATTTTTAACAAGATCTGGAACACGCTGTACAATATTGAAAACTTCCTCGGTTAGTTTTTCTGCCCCAATAGTACCATTGCCACTTGAAACCATGGTTATCTTTTTTGCTTGAGAAAGAGGAGCGGCTACTTCAGCGGCAACCTAAGGACAATTAAAAGTTAGAATATTTACAATTATTAGAGAGAACGCTTGTAAACGTTGCAAAGATCAATATACCTTTGGGAGCGTATCAAGCATCATGTCTATCATGGCTGCGCTCTTGTATTCATTCCATGCTGCAGCTTTCTTTGCCATTTGTTCTGCCTCTGCCTTAGCTCTCGCTTCGATAGAGTAGGCTTCTGCCTCACCGCGAATCTTAATAGCTTCAGCTTCTGCTTCAGCCTCCATAACAAGGCGCAATTTATTTGCTTCGGCCATTTTCTCTAATCTAAAAAAAAAAATCAAAATCATCAAATCTTAGTCGATGCACAACAAAAGATTTATTTGTAAGCATTATTGAATACCTGAATTTTTCCGCGTCAGCGGGGCGTCGTACAGTGGCATCTAATTCTCTTTCGCGTCTCATCATTTCCTGCTCCTGCACGGCGATCTCCTGACTGCGTTCCACAACCTTCACCTGCATTTGCTCTTCCATAATCCTCTGTTTAGTTTTTGCCGCTTGCAATTCATAGGCCATTTCTGCTTCAGCTTTCTGTAAGTAATATCTGTATTAAAAAATGTTCATGGAACATATATTGTAGAAAGCATTAGAAGTTTCCTTACTTTGGTCTGGACTTCGACATCATAAGCAGCCTTTTTCAATTCAAAATCACGTTGCGCTTTTGCGATCTCTGTATCATTTAGGAAACGTGCAGCCATTCTTTGTTCCTCGGCGATAGCTTCCCTAATTTGAGCGTCTCTGCGAGCTTCTGCTTCACCTATTCTAGCATCTCTCTTCACTTCTGCTGTACGTGCCATACCGAGTGCTTGCAGATAACCCTATAAATAATATATTCTCATAAAATTATTGCACGACATGATAACATTTATGATAATACAATGAGTAACGAATGATTTCAGCATTTAAGTAAGCAATGTCTGAGCGACCCAAAAAGGCAACATATA